AATTTATGATTTATATAATATAAAATTTTTAAATTTTTAAATTTATATAATATTTTATATAAAAATTATTTATTATTATTTATATTGATATAAAAATATAAAAAATATTTTTTTATTTAATTAAATTTATATATAATAATTATTAAAATTTTAAATTTTATTATTTTTAAATTTTTTAATTTTTTGTTTATATTATATTTGTATTATGTCATATCTACGTAAAACACTGACATCATTGTCGAAGTTTTCTTCTTGCAATTGGATATTTGCTAAGTAAAAGGTTGTCTTTTTCTGCACTCCGAACATTTTCAATGCTTGGAAACTATCATGAAGTTGATCAAGGATGAAAATGAGTTAAAATCCTTTACGATTTCAAACTTGACTATACAACTCAAGTTTGTCTAAAAGAGTTTTGGGATGAATTAGGTATAAAAGTCAGAGAAATTATCCATATTTAATGGGTAAGATTAATTAGATACGTAACTGTTATGATATATTAAAAAATATACATATGATAATTTTATAATCCGTTTAATATCAATGAATTTTCAAACTGTACTGTTACCTGATGCTTCTTGTCTCCTTCTTTCTAAAGAAACAAACAAATCGCAGGCTCGTAGTCAACTCCATTATAGTCTATAGGAACCTGTCTGGAAGGCATAGCTACAAAACCCCATCTCTCTAAGTGATGACTCCTTGCATTCCAATTTTTCTAAGTTGCCAGGAAATTTAAATGAATAGGTTTTCCTTAGCTGACATGATATTCACTACAAGAAAATAAAAAGTTAGTGTCAATTTAATAACAATATTTGACTTAAAAATATAGTTAGTTTTCATGTTTTTATAAAATTTAATATTTTTTTATCAAAACATCACTAAATATTAAAATAATAATATTTGTATTTACAAATGTCACTAAAAATAAAAATGAATGACGTTTATCAACTAAAACGTCTTAAATAATTTTTTTTAAAAAAATTAAAGTGATTATTGAAGATATTTTTTTTACAAAAAATACCTTGAATAATTTTTTCATAAAAAAATAGATAGAAGATTATTGAATATATTATTGACAGATAACGTCTTAAATAATCTACTCATAAAAAATGAAGACGATTATTAAAGGTGTTTTTTATCATAAATATCTTTAATAATTCTCCGAAAAAATTGAAAATAATCATTGAAGGTATTTTTAATCAATAACACCCTTAATAAATCTCCTTATCAATAAATCTGTCAAAAATGAAGTAGTATTGTCGGTTAGAGCATATGATTTGTTAACCATAAGGTCGTAGATTTGATCAATCGTTTCAATAATTTTTAAATTTTTTAAGGGATTATTTAAGGCTTAAATAACTTTATTCAATTTTTTTAACGAATCATTAAGGCGTTTTCTAGCCGATAACGCATTGAATAATCCATAAAAAAACCAAACAAATATTGAAATGAGGGATCGAATCTACAATCTTATGATTAATAATCATATGTTTTAACCGACAATACTACTTTATTTGTTGTAAATTTATTGACAAAGAGATTTATTGAATGTGTTTTTGATAAAAAAAAAAAAGCCTTCAATAATCTTTTTCAATTTTTTAGGAGAATTATTGAATGTATTTTTGACATAAAACATATTTAATAATCGTCTCTATTTTTTATAAACCGATTATTCAATACGTTTTTTGCAAAAAAACACCATCAATTCGAAGGGTTATAAATTTTATAATTTTTGTATCACCATGTTATGATTTTGATTTGCACGATAAAAATTATATTTAATTAAGACTTAGGTAAGATAATACATAATTAATTTGATATCAATTTTGGATGTAAAAGCAATATTGATATATTATTTACACGTAACTGACTCTCGAAATTTAGTTATGATGTTATAGATTATAATTTATTTTTTTTAAAGACCCTTAATTTACACATAAAATAATTTAAAAAAAAATAGATTCACATAAGTAATAAAATCATACATAAATAAAAGAGATTGGTAGCAACCTTATGATTTTTGTATCTAATGAGTAGGTTATCTCGACCTAAACATTTTGACATTTAGTATTATATCTTTGTAAATATATTTTCCTTGATTATTCAAGTTAGAATTATTAGATTAATCTTAATTATAATTATTTAATTGTTTTTCTTTTTAGTTCAGTTTTAGTTTAGTGTTCTTGAATATTTTATTATGAAAATTAATTGATAATTAATCTTTTCTTTTCAATTTTATAGTTGCAAAGTTTTTATATTAAAGCAAAAAGTTATAATATTAAAAAAATATATGAATGATGATAATTTTTTCTTATCAAAAGTTTAATTTTATTTATAGACCTTTTTGAATGATTTGACTTGTTTTATTTATATATTTTTTGATTTTTTGATTAATAATAAATAGTTGGTTTTTTTTTTCTCAAACATACATAATAAATATTTGGATTAGCATATATAATTACTTTTTTCCAAAAACATTTCCTGCAATGTCTTAAATTATAAAAAGTTTGAGTTTCAAAAGCAAAATAATTTTTTCAATGATATGATTTTATAACTAAAATATGTACATTCAAATTAATAAAAAGATAAATAATTATTAAAAGGAATCATGCATTTTCTCTAATTGATTTAAAAAGTAGAGAAAATCACGTTAAAATCTTAAAGTAATTAAAGTAAATTTGATCACACTTATGAAAAAATATTAAATATGAATTTTTTCATTTAAATTTTTAATTACATGTAGTATCCATATAATAATAAGTTATTCTTAAATATCATTTGAATATATGCATATGTAAATTTTATCAAGTATTTAATTAAGTTTTAACTAATATTATTTATTGAATGTTTAAATAATATTTTAAAAGTATTATTTTCTTAAATATCCTTTAAATACATGCATATGTAAATTTTATATTTTTATTAAAAATAATATTTTTATGTATAATTATATAAAAATATAACCCGTGTATAGTGTGGACCACAAGCTAATTAGGTATAAAAGTAAAAGAAATTATCTATCATAGATAAAATTAATTAGATACGTATCTTTTATCATATATTAAAAAATTTAAAATAATAAAAATAAAATATATGATAATTTTATAATCCGTTTAAATGAATTTTCAAGCTGTACTGTTACCTGCTGCTTCTTGTCTCCTTTCTAAAGAAACAAACAAACCGCAGGCTCAAAGTCTTAAAGGGCCCCTTATAGTCAACTCCATTATAGTCTATAGGAACCTGGCTGGAAGGGATAGCTGCAAAACCCCATCTTTCTAAGTCATGACTCCTTGCATTCCAATTTTACTTAGTTTCCAGGATATTGGTATGAATGGAGTCTTGGCATTTCGCCTTTCTTTTTGGTCTTTAAAAGTTTAAGGTGAGGGGAGATTTTTTCAATACAGAATCAAGATAGATCGTGTGTCTCATAAAAGCGTTACATTAAATTTACGTATTGCTTAAAAATAATCATTAATAATGAGATTCAAACTTAAATATTACGAATGAAGTATTTAAATCTTACCGTTTCAACTAATTTTCATTGGCAAAATTTTGGAGCTTTTTCTGTTTATCGATTTGTGTGTATCATCCTTGCGCAGGGAACGTGATTTAAATGGTAGGCCTTTCATTTTCATACCTGGATGCGCCAGTTCATCAAATTGTATTGCTATTGAGCATTACCAATTCCATCCGTGAGGGATGGGGTGGGATGGGGGGAAATGGGACAAAAGTGAAAAACAAAATGGGTTGGAACTGGTGGGAAACTTGTTAGTTGTTACCAGGCAAGATGATAAGACCATTAACGTGTCAATTACCCCTACAGGCTCCGTCCATTCGTGGACTCCAGCTTCTACACAATTTATCTTGTTCACGAGCCTATGTTTCAGATGACCCCACAAAGCCCTGTTGAATTCAAGTTTCCTTTTCCCCTCTTTGAACCCAGCCCAAAACTTCCTTGTCTAACCCTGGGTTGTTTTTTAAACAACAATATCCTGGACTATTCTTTGGTCAAAATAGAGTGGAAATGCCCAATTTTAGCCCATGACAAACTTAGGCTCTACGTTTCACACCTTTTCGTGCATGTAGAAAAGCCCACCATTGGCTTTTTATCCTTTGTGTGTGTTTTTCAATGGAAGCACATTCGGCTTTGATCCCTTCAATCGGTTTCTATTTGAATATGGACTAAAGATAGTAATTCTTGCAACAGGAGACTAATGAACATCAAACTGCAATCGGTGTCTATTTTCACTTTTCCTTGTTGATTTGTTACTACATAACACATTAGTCCCCAGTTCCAGCGCCATTAATTCATGGCTGGTGGCTGCAGCATGTTAACCTGATGCGCCTGAGTTAGAAGGATAACATATAACTTTGGCCTAAAGGCACAGCCCTCAATGCAATCTTTCTCTACATTTCTTTCCAGCTCTCAAGTGTCAAGGTCATCAAGGCATAAGGGTCACACTATCTAAATGAAATCCACCAGTAATTCATTTGTATCCTTGACTCTGCAACAGCCTATCTCCACTCGTTTTGCACAAGATATTCATCTCTTATTTCTTTTTACTCACCATTATTATTAAAAACGTTATAAAAAAAAAACAAATCTCAAATGACAATGACTCATAATTCTAATTTAATAGGCCCAAAACGTCTCCAAATTTTCAAATTTTTGGAGAACAAACACCTAATATATAAACATTCTGCCGTACTCAGTACTTTCTACCAACATGGAACAATCAAATGACATGGGTTGTTAACAAAGACTATTATGAAAATTACTTGGATTACCAGCATGGACCCTGGCAGTGGCAGATATATCGGGATAGAAATTAATAAATATATGGACCCAAAATGACATTGTTTTCTTCATGCATACATCACCAAATGATGCCAAATCATTATATTTTTCACATAAAAAACCACTGTATACAATAAACCGTAGGAAAGCTTCTCTCTTGTATCTCTATCTTCATTATCTTTCATTTGAAGCAGTCTTTCACTCTTTCTGGAAACCAGAAGCCAGGAAGCTACCCATATTATCACTTGAAAGTTGAGCCCCTGACTCCTAAACCTAATGGCCTCAACCTGTATCTCAAACTGCATCAATGACACTAGGGTCCCAGTCAGGCCAACATATGTCAACCTCTACAAGTGGCCGGAATCAGATGCCGAGTTTGTCAGGTCACTGAACTCCGACGGGCGCAGAGGCGGCCGTGCACATCCCACGGTTGTTGATAGCATTTCATGCAGGCAAATGTACCTGAGAAGCTACACGTTTCATAGGAATGAAACTGAGCCTGAAAAAACGAAATGTTTTGGCAGAGTTAAGAAGGAGAAGGTGAAGAGTCCTACAAGAAAAAATAAGTCCGAAACTGTTGCCAAGAAGAGGTGTGTGGCGCTCAGAAGGGCCAAAGAGGTCTCCTGTGCCGCCCTTTTGACCATGTTTCGCAGTCTGTTGTCCTGCACCACCAAGGTTGATGTGGCTGATCATGGAGATTGAGCATTTTTTATCTGTTTCAGCCTTCAGGGCTTCCTTCTTCTTCTTCTTCTTTTAAATAACTTTCTAATAGCATTAAGTTTTTATTCATTTGATGCCCTTCTTTTTCTTCAATCTATGTTATTTTTGTTTGTTAATGGATATGGACTGATGATATCATATGTTAATGGTTACAGTGCAGAGAGAGTTATCAAGGAATGCAATTATGCTAATATATATTTGGTTGAAAAATATATCATCATATGTAAAATTTGTCCATTTTCACCTTGTAAAACTCTTAGTTATGGAAAGTTTCAAGTCTATCTGTCTGTTTCTGATCACATTTGCCAAGCTCAACACAGTAGGCAGAAACATACAGCTAGTTTAATTTTTTGTGTCTCCCCCCCTTCACAGCCTTGATAAGGTTTCATCATATCATAACTGTAGTCACACTTGCTGCAATATCCTAACCTCCGCTGACTTCCAGTACAAGTTTTTAGGGAATGTTTCTTAATTACAGTTAAAGGAAGCTATATATATTTCAGAATCACTGATTCTGGGCTATGGTCAGGTCAATAGCTCTTGCATGGGTGGAGTCACTTGGGAATTAAGATTTAAGGGCTGCTACTGCTAGCCAGAACATTCTTTATAGAAATAAGGATATGATCAAAATCAAAGTGTACCAATTCTTTATAAATTTGTGAAATAAAAGATAGAATGATGGTGGCATAGTGTCAATGGTGACGGATGCAGGTGAAACTTGGGGCCAAAGATCTTGGCTATTACCACATGTCTCTAGCTTTTAAATTCCTAATTTTCTATGTTTCTTTGACTATTTCATTCCTGGAAAGGGATGGGAAGAAAGGGCCAGCACCTGGGAGTATTATGAGTAGAAGAAGTAATCCGAAAGAAAAGAAGCAAAAAGAGGTTTGAGAATCAATCATACTATAACCAATCATGAAAACTTTTTTAGTGTAAAAGAGACCAAAAGAAAGTTTGAAACTTACAAAGCAAGTTTCCTTGGGTCAATCGACTAGGGGATTTTATATTTTCTTAATCCGTCTGTAATTTTGTACTTAATTGGGAACATGATATATACCGGGAAGTAATCAGTGCTTAGGGCACACAATTGATGATTAAGGACATTAAATCATCTCTTGCACCTTTAGTTTTTTGGCTTAATGGCAAAGAAAATCAAGCCATCCACTTCCATCCCACAATCCCGTAGACGAAAAAAAGAACTATCACTTGGATTGTTGTTATAATTAGTTAACCATTTTGGGGTTTCTTGTTAGCCTGTGAAGTTGCTTTCAGTTATATACAAACTGAATTGAAGTGTGTTAGCATCGGTATTTACCCCAATGCCAACTCATTTGCATACCAGACAGTCAGATTCTGAATGGCATTATGGCATTGGTGTTTTCTTTTCCTTGAATTTGTTAATGGATAATAAGTAGATAAACATTAGTCTTGAGACTCCTATAATTCATTTCAAACGCAAATTCATTAATTTCTATGGGCGTAAACCTCAGAATGAAGCCACCTGACCCGAAGAAAATGGTCCAAAAAGTGAGTACTTCTTTTCATGTTAATACGCAAGTCATCAAAGCTCAAAAGAAATTTTCTGTTGCATTAATCCTTTGGTGAATCTGTTATCTACATGTGAGGTGGTTTCCTTGTAAGCTCTGAAAGAGGAAACGAGGGTAGAAATGAAACAGAAGCTTATCCGAAAATGCGGTAAACGGGTGACACTTTAGAAGCTTTGAGCCAGGGAACCTGCCTGCTGAGTCATGTTCTCTTATTCCCAGCAGGCTTTCATCCTGATTTTGCCCGTTTCCAGCCTACTGTAGTCCCAAGATTGGCCTGGATCCATAGAAATTGAAGCAAATTCAGTGCATGTGCATTCATATTCCCCCATCATTTGTTGCTGTTGCAGCCTGTTCTCTAATGGGCAATGGATTAAAAAGTATTTAGTGGAATTAATTACTCTCAAGGGATGATTGTAGCACATATATTAACTGGCCCATTTACTGGACAACAGGCCTTATTTTCCTTTTCATTCTGTTCTAGCAATGTTTTTGAGTGCATTTGATTAGTATAATTTTCAATCTTTCAATATGAGAAATCTCATCTCTTTTGCAGCAGTAGGTCTAAGTAATTGAGTTCCTTCCAGCACAAGTATGCAATTTATCCACAAATTACAAAAGCAAGGTTCTTATTTGACAACTCAACTCTAGTTTTTGGCATTGTACCATATATCAGCGCCAGGAAGCTCAGTAATTATCATACTGCAATATAAAGTTCAGATATAATTGAGTAGAATGAATTTCACAATAATGAATACAGAGCAAGATAGGGTTGTGCTTCAACCATGGAATTCATCATTCACAATCATGTCAGGTAGAGTGGGATCAGCAGACAATTGCAAATGCTATACAAAATACAATGGCAGAACTGCTTTTAAGTAGGGAAAATAAAAGCAGGCTTATAAACGACTGGAAATGGAATCAATGAAGTTGGATACGATTCAAGAGCAACAGATATTCACAAAAAATGAAGTATGGAGCCCATGATTCACTCATTGATTTGAAGCAACTGTGTTCTGCAATAAAACAAAAGTCATTGGCTCAATTTTGCTGGGTAAAGGTATAGTCGGTAAAACAAATTGGTGCTCATGCAAAAACATGGCAAAACAATTTTATCTCATCTGTTCACGTTGATGCAGCAAGATAAAGCAATAAATTACACCAAGACTGTGGAAAATGGGATAAAATCAAGAATCAATTTGAAAATATTTACACACTAATCACTTGCAAAAGTCGAAATGCACCTTATAGCACATAAATTACAGGCACTAGAAACCCCTATACCTGCTGTACATGAAAGAGCTCACAACACTTTAGGCGGTACCTTTTTAGAACACAAATGATTTTGAGCAGTTGCCTCTGCAGTACGAGCACAGCTTTTCTCTGGTTTGTCTGATGATGACTAACCAAAGAAACCGCATCATGTTATACTGTTATAGGATGAGGAACTGACATACTACCAATTAAAAACAAAGGAATTTGAACCATCCCACCTTTTTAAACAAAATAAAGAAAGAAAACTAGCTTATCTTCTCGGATGTGGCAAGCAGTGGTGGATCAGAGAAACCGTACCAGCATTGACAAAAGAGAAGCTTAATCCCTAGAATTTTTCCATCTCATATAAGTCACCTGCCTTCAGACTTCAACAGCTGTGAGAAAACTTTACTCATTGAAACACCTGAGAGGTCATCCACACTTGACACCTCAAACTGTGCAGAAAAAGCAGTGGGATCAAGCTCACTGAAATTTTTGATTTGTGGAGAAAGCTCGCCGATCATGTTTGTACTGTTTTCTTCAGGATCACCTCGAACAACAGCCTCCTGAAGTTGAAGAGCATACTCCAGATTCCATAAGACATCTCCCATGGAGGGCCTGTTCACGCCAATATCAGCCAAGCACTTCTCAGCTGTTTCTCCGAACTTCCTAAGAGAATTAGGCCTGATGTCTCCGGTGAGATTAGGATCAATTATTTGCTCCAACTGTCCTCTCTTCTGCCATTTCATTGCCCATTCAGCTAGATTTACCATTTCCCTTGGAAGAGTTGGATCTATTACTGGTCTTGCACAAAGAACTTCTAACAAAACCACTCCAAATGAATATACGTCAGATTTCTCTGTCAGTTGTTGCCTTCTGAAATATTCCGGATCCAGGTACCCAAAACTTCCTTTCACTGCTGTACTGACATGGGTCTGATCAATTTCAGGACCTGTCTTTGATAGCCCAAAATCAGCAACTTTTGCCATTAGATTCTCATCAAGTAAGATATTCGCAGACTTCACATCACGATGAATAACTGCTTTTGCATAGCCTGTGTGAAGGTAGTGGAGTCCTCTAGCTGCTCCAACGCATATTTCAAGCCTTTGTTTCCAACTCAAACTTGGATGACCTGAACCATAGAGATGACTCTTGAGTGTCCCATTCTCCATATATTCATAAATCAAGATCATCTCATTCTTTTCATCACAATAACCAATCAAAGAAACCAAATGGCGGTGGCGGAACTGGGATAGCATCTCAATCTCAGTCTGGAACTCAGCAAGTCCTTGTTGGGACCATGGATTTCCCCTTTTAACAGCAACTTTTGTACCATCATTCAGTTCTCCTTTGTACACCTTACCAAAACCTCCAATCCCAATAACCCAACTTTCATCAAAGTTGTTTGTGGCTTCTTGAACAGCCAGAAAAGGAATGCGATAGCCCGTATTAGAATTGAGACTGGCAGTTGTTCCTTTGGAGTATTTGCTCCCCATAGTGTGAGAAGTTCCTCCATTAATTGAAATAGGAATCCAGGTCTTTGATTGCCTATGGCGTGCCAATCGTTTTCTTTTTCTACAAAACATAAAAAGAACACCTGCCAACAGCACTCCAGAAACCACTCCGACGCTTACACCCACTATAGCACTGACTTTCTTCTTCGAACTTGAACCAGAAGTATTGACAGTTCCCAAGCCAGTAAGGCTGCCATCAGAATTGTTCATTTTCATGATTTCCAGTCCATTTAGTATGGCATCAGGGTAAGTACCACGTAAATCAGATGGGCCAATGCTTACTCGAAGCTTATTGCTAGCAGCTGACTCCGTAACAAAATCCATATAATATGCAGCAGCCAAAACGTTAAACAAAGTACTCAGATCAAGGTCCTGAACAACCATTGAGGAGTCGATAAAAACATTGAAGTACAGCTGGTTAAGAGCATTGCTGACAATATCACAAAAGTGAAACCTAAGAAGGTACTGAAATCCTGGATCCACGTCGAATACCCAGGTCACATTGAAGTTGCTATTGGGGTCACTCAAGGAGTTCATCCTGGTGCAGGTACCATAGACAGAATTTGGAGCAATCTCTTGTGTTGATCCACCAGCCACATAATTGACAGCTCTAGTATTTGATATACTCAAGGCGAGATTGTTTTCTACAAGAAAATGCTGATCGGGTACCCATGTTCGCCACAGAGTATCGTTCTCAACGGAGACTGTAGGTCCCCCCATATTCACCCTAGCAACCGTCTCTAGTGCTTGCCACATCAGCCCTTGGAATCCCACAGATGATTTAACAGATTTGGCACCATCGGGGATGAGCTGATCTGGGACTGAAACAACTTCTAGGGCATTTATAAAAGCAAATGAGTTCTCTGAAGGACTGAATGTGATGGCAAGGCTATTGGTGGTTACATCAACAGAAAATTCTTTGACAAGAGGAGCTTGCACACTGAAGCTGCTGAGGAGGACATGGTTTTCTGTGGAAACAGCGAACTTTGCCAAATTCATATCATAACTAGCATAAACAAATGGATAGAAATAAAGTCGAATCCAGTGTCTTCCTCGTTGGCTGATAGAAAATGCGTACTTAGATACACCAGTAAAGATTCTTGCCGTTTGATAGAGTGGCGAATCATCAGAGGAGGTAACGGCTTTTGAAGTGTTTCCAATAACATTTTTTGGTGCAGAAAGGAGTTTCGAGGCTAATATATCAGCCATGAAAAGTCGACCACCCACTGTAGTATTAGTAGGTGATCCACAATCAATAAGGTAATTATCTGCCGGTGTAAACGCTCTAGCAAAGCATGCCAAACACAAAACTGAAGAAACCCAGAAGAGCAATTCAAATACTTTACAACCCATTTTTTAAAATCCTAGAAAGTAACAGACCACGAAAGGCTGAATCTTTTTGTTCTTAACAGGAGCTGGAATTCAGGGTTCTCACAGAAACAACTTATGGATTAATAGCAAACTATAACGGCAATCAAAGATCAATTAAGAGAACTGAATAAGGAAGATAAAAACTAGTACCAAGAAATATCATGTGAGCTCCAATATATCTTCTTATATAGGATAGAAACAAAAGCAGCTGACACTAGAACTGAATAAAACAAATCAAAAGATGGAACCTTGGAGAAAAACCCAGATGAGAGGAGCCCCTGGAGTGAAAATCAAATCATTTATGCACCTCTATGGGAATTTGACAGAGTTTCTATTGCAATTTTCAAAACACGTAGAGCGCAAAATCTTACAAGGCACAAGCTGATATGAACTTGGCGACAACCTCAAATATTGACATATTCCTAGATTTTTTTTATTATCCTTTATGCTCTTATGTCTATGGGGAACCAAAACGAATAAACAAATCAGAAAAAAGGAGTCAAAGGGTGGTGTAACAGAAATGAAAATCTGCAGGACAAAGAAAAAAAGCAACTTTTTAGAGGTCTAATATCATGTTTGGTAAATCACTGTTTGATAGAAGTTATTTTTTGGTTGCAAGAAAGTGAAAACAATTAAAGAAATGTTAAAAAAAAAACAGTAACGTATAGATAAGATAAGGGCCTCTTTAAAGCTTGGAATTTTATGGAGAGGGGTTTTGTGTTATGGCCTTTAATGGTGGTTGGTAGAACAGTGTTTTTAACTTTTAAAGCTGGGGAAGGTAAAGCCTTCCTCTTTAGTGGGTTGATGTCAAAATTTTTAAAGAAAAGGAAAATTGAAAGTGAAATGATGAGAAATTTATGCCTTGTTGACAGTTTCCCAGAAGCGATGGATGAATTGGAAACAAACGTACAAAAAGCTACAGCTTAACAAATGGCAACCCGATTCACACTATTTACAAAAGAACAAAAAAATAAACAACGAAAGGGGCAAGTGGCAACTACTCCAACTTATTATTATTTTAATTTACTTTTTATACTTATAAACTGAAATAAAAATTCTTTATTCTAAGTAAAGATTTTGTCCAATTATATAAGTAAATTTGATTATTTGTATATTTATATTATATAAAATATTAAAATTTATATATTCATATTATATTTTATATAAAAATTACATTTTATAATTTATATTTATATCAAAATATAAAATATTTTTTTATTTCATTAAATTTATATATAATAATTATTAAAATTTTAAATTATACTACTTTCATATTTAATTTTCGACAGGATCGTATCATATATTTATTCAAAATGTCAACTTACGCTCCAGTATATAGATTGGGCGGTGGTGCCTGCTAGGCCAACAGACCCAGTCCGCTACCGGTTTGGCTTGGGCTTTGTCTTTATCCTCCCTGGCCCAAGTCATTATTTTCTTACTTTATAAATCAGTTTTTTTTTTAATAAATTAGTTTTAAAATATCTAAATAATAAATATTAGTATTAAAATATTTATTTATTTATTTATAAAAACAGATTAAACTTAAAAATTTTACATTCTTGAAATTATATTTTATTTATTTTTCTTCCTTTCGCTTTCGGTTCAGGGAAAAGAAAAGGGAACAGGAAACTGGACCCAAACAGAAACGCAAAAACTCGCTCTTTGACTTAGCTCACGGGAAATCCCTTGACAAGTGATAAAAATTAAAGGTCACTCTCTCACGTTGATCTACCTTGCAGGTAATTCTCACTCTCTTATGAGTCGATCTTGATTCGTCTGCGATTCGATCTTCAATCGCACTGAAGTCATCTCATTTTTTTATTAATTTCATTTTTTACGATCTTTTTTTTGTTCGTTTTCTTAGTGAAAATTTAGATTAGTTTTTGTGAATTTCGATTTTTGATTTTTCCTGAATATTTTTAGAGGATTTTAACGGATAGTGGAGAGTGGTGACTGTTTTGTAAGCTGCTGTTTGGCTGCTGAGAAGTTACCATGGAAAAATGTGGAGACCGCTCTTTCGATTAGCTCAACTGAACTGACCTGAATAGTAGTGTAGGGTTTTTTTATTCATTTCTTTTTTAAAATATTTGAAGATTTAATTCTTGGAATTTAGGGTATTGATGTTGTTAGGAAGTGGTGATTAGTTTGTTGAGATGTGATGCAGCTCCTTCAACCTTGAAGGGTCTGCATCAAGATGACCGGCAATCAGTTACACTGATTATTTATTTTTCCTTTTTGCTCTTTTTCTTTCAACTTAAACCGGTTCTTGTCGGTCTTGCTGGTGTAAATTTATGTTTCCTTTTATTGATGTCATTTGGATGATTTGTTTAGGGATTGCAGTGTTTTCTTACCACGCATAATTACCTTAATTTCAATACTGGGAAAGTTTCCTGCCCAAAAGAGTTTCAAATGCATGCGATAGAGGTTTTTTTTTTTTTTTTTTATAACTCCATAAATTGTAAAACATGTTAATTGAAATGTTTCTTTCGATTTTTTTACACTTTGATTATCATTTAATTTGAGAAAAAATGGTAAAAATCTTTTGAATGCTGTTGTGCTGTCATTATTTGGAAGTGGAAAGTGGCATAAGTGGGTTTTGTAAAGCCATATGTGATTTTTAGAACCTTAGCTAGATATCTTTTCTCTGCATCAAATAGATAGCCTAAGTAGCAGGAAAAGCTTGGTTATTGTTGTTTTACATTTTTTAAGTATTTTGGGTGGGTATTGCTGGTAACATTGGGTTTGGTTCAGCATCAATTGAATGTGCATTTGTTGCCTCCTCATCATTTTGGGGTTAGTTCTTACAATTGTGTTGTCCTTTTCAGGCTATAATCACTTTACCATCTTCTCAAATCAGGATTTTGTCTACTTAAACTCAAGACGTTGAAAGGCTGCTTCTCAATAAGGAATGATTTTTTGCATGGGCTATTGACACTTATGCAATGTCGGGGTTAATTAATGTATTGCTACTTTAACTGAACAATTTATTTGGAGTTGTAATTTTTTTTGACATTAATCTGGTTTTTGGACTGTTTATTTTTCCTTTGTCCAAATGAAGTATGTGGCTTCTGTAGGTGAACTTAGTTCTTTGAGCAAAAGATAACTAGATATCTGTTATTGTGATTTGTAGATGCAGCATATTGGATCTGTTGCTTCTATATGTCTGTGTATTTATGTATGTGCGTGTTGATATCAACATGTTCTGACATGCTGATTTTTGTAACTTAAGAGTACGAATATGTTGATTATAGGTCATTGCTGCTCCATAAAAAGTCAATTGGTTTGAGACGCTAGTATGTCTTTCTAGATCATAAATGATGGAATGTTTAGAAATCTTCTTCCTTTTATGGTCTATTCTCTTTTTAATTGAAACTTTAAATCAAATCTGAATGTGGTGCATTTCTGTTATCCATATTCTTTTCCTGGTTGATTGTTGTTTGTATTTTTGTATCACATGTCTATCTATTGGCTGGAAACTATAATGTGCATCTGATTGCAGTCTTCTATCAATGGATCAGCATCGAACCTTCCAGACAGTAGCGGACGATCTTTTGCAACATCTTTCTCTGGTCAGTCTGGTGCGGCTTCCCCTGTTTTCCATCACACTGGTGGATAGGTTTACTGGATTTCCACTCATCTATGTTCTTCTGAACTCATGCAATTTTATTGTTTGTTTTTGCAGGCACTATTCAGGGCCTGCATGGTATTCATGGTAGCTTTAATGTTCCCAACATGCCTGGTACTCTCACATCAAGAAACTCAACATTAAGTAATGTTCCAACTGGTGGGGTTCAACAACCTACTGGGAGCCTTTCTGGTGGAAGATTTGCATCAAATAATCTACCTGTTGCTCTTTCTCAGGTATTCGTAATATTCCCACCATACTCTGATGTGGCTTTGTTTATTGTAGCAATAGAAATTCTACATGCTTTCTTTCCCCTTCATGCATGTCTTTTGGCCAAATGCATAAAAATGAAAAATAATAGGAAGAAAATAAAATCTTACATATTCTTGTAATATGTGCTTCATTTTCTTATGATACCATTTTGCAGTTATCTCATGGCAGCTCCCATGGACATTCTGGAGTAACCAATAGAGGAGGTATTAGTGTTGTAGGAAACCCTGGATTTAGTAGTAACACAAATGGAGTTGGTGGTTCTATACCTGGGATTCTCCCAGCCTCTGCTGCAATTGGTAACCGCAATGCTGTTCCAGGATTGGGAATGTCCCCAATTTTGGGAAATGCGGGTCCTAGGATAACGAGTTCTATGGGAAACATGGTCGGTGGGGGCAACATCGGTAGGAGCATAAGCTCTGGTGGAGGATTATCTGTACCTGGTCTTGCATCTCGTCTGAATTTAAGTGCCAATAATGGATCTGGAAGTTTAAGTGTGCAGGGACAGAATAGGTTGATTAGTAGTGTGCTTCCTCAAGGTATGTTAGCATGAACAATTACCCCTATATTTTGTTGTTGGCTTGAGCAAAAGATCACTGTTTATGTGTGCTGCTGGCTAGAATTGCCCTTGGGCACAAATCAGTACTATGGCCAGAATTTTTGGTTAATTTACCATCCCTTTCTCATTTTTCTTGATGAGTTTTCTGACTTCGTTTCTTGCATTACTCTTCATAGCTGCTCACTAGTTGCATCTAACTTCTAATTCTAGGCAGTTAACATAATTCTTATTCTTAGCTGATCCTGAATACATGTTTCAATTTTATAGTGTTTGTATTATTACTTTTATATAATGGAATATATGTCTTGTGAATTTACTAGTTTAGCCATAGTTGTTCTATTGAATGACACTTTCTGGATTCAGGATCTTCTCAGGTAATTTCAATGTTGGGCAGTTCTTATCCTACTGCTGGGGGTCCACTTTCCCAGAGCCATGTTCAAGCTGTGAACAATCTTAGCTCTATGGGAATGTTGAATGATGTGAACTCAAATGACAATTCCCCTTTTGACATAAATAATGATTTCCCTCAGTTGACAAGTCGTCCTAGTTCTGCTGGAGGACCTCAAGGACAATTGGGTAACCGAAGAAAGATGCTTTTTGATTCTTTGATTTGTCTTTTTCTTGCTGCTGAAGTTCTAATATTTTAAGTCAAAAACTTTTCAGGTTCACTACGAAAACAAGGTCTTAGTCCCATTGTTCAACAAAATCAAGAGTTCAGCATTCAAAATGAAGATTTCCCTGCTTTACCAGGATTTAAAGGTCCACAGATATTCTTTGACCTGGTTTTGATATAATGCATTTTACTTTCTGGTTGGCATAATTAAATGCTGTATTAGAATTATGTTCTTGATAATATTATTAGATATTGTACAGGTGGTAATGCTGATTATGCAATGGATTTGCACCAGAAAGAACAACTTCATGACAATACTATGTCAATGATGCAATCTCAGCACTTCTCTGTGAGTCTATGTTTACAAAATTGAAAAATTCTGGTTTATTTTCTTTTATATATATATATATATATATATAAAATAATTGCATGCTGTATATATTATGAGTTATTTATTTCCTTTTCTTTATTTTCTAAAAAAGTATCATCTTCACGATATATTTACAGTGAGATTTTGTCTAATACTTGCATGCAATTTGCACAGATGGGGAGATCTGCAGGATTTAACTTGGTTGGATCCTATTCATCTCATCGCCCACAACAGCAACAGCAGCATGCTCCTTCAGCCAGTAGTAGTGGGGTCTCCTTTTCATCTGTAAACAACCAAGATCTCCTCCATTTACATGGATCAGATATCTTCCCATCCTCACATTCGAGCTACCACTCACAGGTTTGACAGTCTGGTGCTGTAGATGGTTTCTTGCAAATTTAAGTAAGGGGGTTAGTAAGGAAGGGGTAGAAGGAAACAGATTTTTTTTGCATCTTTCTCTAATGGAACATGGGAGCAATTATTAACTAATTTGAAACATTATGTTTGAAGAGTGATTCAGTAGCTGGATTGAACGATTCATTGTTGGTCAAACTGGAAGAATGTGAAATTACCCCTTCCTTTCTCTTATAACAGCATGTGTAAAGAAGGATCCATTGAAAGTTGAAGAAATTGGTTTGAGTTCCTTATGATGGACATTCTTCATTTGTGCATTTGATTTGTGCATCAATGTTTTCTCATATTTGGTAGATGTTACATAGAATTACTCCTAACATCCTCTTTCATTGTTGGTTCAGACCAGCGGACCACCTGGGATTGGACTAAGACCTCTAAATTCCTCAAATACGGTTTCTGGTATGGGTTATGACCAGCTCATCCAGCAATATCAGCAGCATCAAAACCATCCTCAGTTTCGTCTGCAACAGATATCAGCTGTCAATCAGTCATTTAGGGAACCAGGCATGAAATCAATGCAGGCTGCACAGTCGAATACAGACCCATTTGGATTACTTGGTTTGCAAAGTGTAATAAGGATGAGTAATCCTGATCTGACTTCCCTTGCTCTTGGAATTGATTTGACAACACTTGGGTTAAATTTGAATTCATCAGAAAATCTTCACAAGACTTTCGGCTCTCCATGGTCTGATGAATCGGCTAAGGGTGACCCAGAGTTCACTGTGCCACAATGTTATTATGCTAAGCAACCACCTGCTTTACATGTGAGCTGTTTTTAACTTTTCATACTTTAGTAACCTGCTTAATGCAACTGTCTGAATTAGTGAATTTTGTTCTATAGCTCTGATTTCTTTTTGATGCATGCAGCAAGGTTATTTTTCGAAGTTTACAGTTGACACATTGTTCTATATATTTTACAGGTGCGTTTTTATTTAATGTCTGTTGCTTTTCTATTGTATATTTTAAGATCTTATTCTTAGTCATCTGTACTTCTTTGTTTCTAATGCAGCATGCCAAAAGACGAAGCTCAATTATATGCTGCAAATGAACTGTATGCTCTCTACTGAGTGAATTTTGTTGAAATCTTTATGCACTCTTCTTTTTCTCAACCTTCATTTAAAACCTCTTATTGGCAGTTGTAATAGAGGCTGGTTTTACCACAAGGAGCACCGATTGTGGTTCATAAGGGTTCCCAATGTTGAGCCACTAGTTAAGACAAGCACATATGAGAGGGGTTCTTATCACTGTTTTGATCCGAACTCATTTGAAACAATCCGCAAGGTTGGAACCACTATATTCCTACGGCCTAATTTATGTTCTTTTTTTTTTTTTACTGTTATTCATGACTAGTTGCTGACTGTATATTTTGACTGCAGGATAATTTTGTTGTCCATTACGAGTTGTTGGAAAAGAGACCAGCTTTACCTCAACATTAACAAGTTTCTTCTCATTTACAATGTAAAGCTCAAGTATGTAACTCATTCATTAGAACATCAGTTTGCAGCATTAGTGTTTTTCGGATTTAGCAATTTTCAGCATCTCTATTAATCTTTTTTGTTTTTTCAATAAGTAGCCATTGAGCCACTTTTCTCATCTATAGCAATTTGAAGATGGTGACTCTGTCATTCTAGCCAGCCATTCAAGCCTACCTTTCACCTAACAGACCAAATAGGGAAAAAAACAAAAATATAACTGTAATAACAGATCTTCCTCCATTTTCCCAATTTTACTAAAGTAAATACTAGGAAAATAAAGCTGTCATAGTCCCAAAGCGAGGCTCCAAGGCAGATGCCACCAACTCAAAAGCCAAAATGTAACTGTGCAGCCAGCTTAGCTAATGCAATTTGACTGCATTCCAGCCGCCTCTCATTCATTTCTTCAGCTACGGAATCCCAAAAGATTGTGATATTATTTCTCCTTGAATTGAGATAAGCTCTGGAGCCTCTGAAACTATATGTCGAGTGTCACAAATCATATTAACTTGTAAAGTATTATTTATTTTAATTTTATTAGATATCACGAATATGTCACAATTTAAGTGTCACAATTTAAAGGTGGTGTAAACTTTTATATTTCAAGATTAATTTTAATATAAAGCTGAGTTTATTGTTTTTGGTGACACATCATTAGTAAAGAAAATTTATATGAAGTTTTTTAAATGAAGTTTGTAAATTTTGTAAAAAAAAAATGATTTAATAAAACTTTTAATAAAAAATTCAAATTGATATATTAATAGATATTTTTCTTAAACATATCTATAAAAAATATATATATAATTTTTTAAATTTTTAAAAATTTATATATTTGATTTATGTAATGGGATATTTTAATTTATCGGTTATGACTTTTAATTTCGGATTTTATTTCAAGAATTTCATTAAAGTCTTTTCTCATTGTTAGTACTTTCGGAATCGGCTCTAAAATCAAATGTTATAATTCACAATAACTTGTTATGTATTATTTATTTTAATTTTAATATATATCACGATTTATCTCATAAAAGATAAAAATAATGTGAAGATTTATATCTCAAGATAAATTTTAATACACAACAGATATAAAATTAATCTCTTTTCTATCATATAAATCTACCCCAGTAGCATCGCAAGATCAATCAAAGAAATACGCCCTAATTTCTTCACCTTCCAAGCTATTTCATGCCTCAGTTGCTCTTGCAGAACACTAAATCATAACAATCATAAAATTCAAAATAAAACTCACATGTAACAAATCAAATTTTACATTCCATAGCAACAGCATAATATTAAACACGTAACCAACAAGTTTTCCTTCGTTTTCATGGAACCAAACATCTGTAAAAATTGATACAACAATCTGGAAGGAATTAAATGCATTTTCTATCATCATTTTCATGGGAACCAAACAGCCTTAAAATTTGTAATTCATTCCAGAAACAGTCACCACTACCTAAAAAATCCAAATGCGTTTTCTTATTATCATCTTCCTTCATAGTTTATCTGTAACTAAACAAAATCAAAATCGAATTTTTGTAATTTAACTTTTGTTATATTAAATTTTGTAATCCTATTTTTTATAAAATATATTTTATCAATCCAACATGTTTTATGAATGCCAGATGCATAATGATTGAGTTATACATACATGCATGGTTAGAAAAGAGCCTGTTTCCAAATGCACTTTTGGCAGAAGTTGACCCCAAAATTGTAGGCTTATGCTTTCAAGCAAAGCAAAACAGCAGCCATGTCCATTTCTGCATTCCTCTATATAGGCAATCCGTGCATGATCTTTTAAGCCTTGTCCTTCGCTTCTATCTGTGTGTTGATTTGATTGAATTGTCAAAATGTATCCCCATGCTTTGAACTCTCCATTCGAATGGACCATCCCAAGTCATCAATCAACCAAGGCATCAGCTACCTTCCCATAATTTTCAAACATCAAATTTGTCCATATTTTTATTGTGATTTCTATTACAAGGTCAGTGTCCATCCAGATCTTTGCCATCTTTGTGATAAATGTTCGGTTTTGTTCATTTTCATTATTCCGTGGAACCCCAAACCCAATATGATATCAAGTTCCAATTGATGCTATAACAGTCGAGTTTCTCTGGCATGATTTGGCTACATTTGCCTCCATGTTGTCAGATTCTTCCCATTTGCTGCAAAATGCTTATAAAATTCCTAGTATTTTGCTTTCGTCCTTTATGAGTGTGGCTATAGAGATTAGAATTATATTCAACCATAGCTGATCAACTTGAAATTTACATCTCGTAATAAACTTATCAAAGGACAAAAGATCTGTAACGCTGGATGCTGGGAAAAAAGGATCAGGCGTGAGTCTTATTAAATGGCATACATTTTCTTAAACTCATTGTTTAGAATTTCAGAATCTGACATCGCAGAGAGAGAGAAGGAGCGTGACGTGCTCCCCAATGATGATCTTCGTATACTTCTCATGTTTGAAGCCTCAATCCGATGCCTAATCACCCAATAACACATAGTGCCTAGTGTTGTGGCCATTATACTTGTTCCTATAATTGTCACTCCAATTGCTAGCCATCTTTCCTTTTTGCCAACTACAATAAATGACAAGGCTAAGAATGCCACTGAAACAAGCACGCAAGCCAACCACATTAGCTTGTTGATAATTGCCATCATCTGCTTCTTTGCCTTGCTTTCAATGACTACAACTGAGGTCTGAACCACCACAACAGCCAGAGAAATGAAGAGGGCAATGGAATCAAAGATGAAGAAAATTATAAAGGCGGGCTTTGGAGCTATATTTGCTTCACCAAGGGAGTGACCAGGAGGAATGTCATCCGGGTCATCGACATATTGGCCAGGGACAGTGAAAATGGCAGCGAAGGCAACTGTAGCAATTAGGACAGCAACAACAGTGGTGGAGTTTATTGCATTGTTAAGACCTTCAGCGTGCATTTTGTTGAGTCTTTTGGCGATGCCTTGCACACGCTTTCTAGTTAGGCGGGTGTGTTCTAGTTGATAGTGCACTTCATGCTTTATATCACTCACAGTTTGTTTTAACTCACGGGCTGGATTTGGTGTCGCAGGCTTCATGGTTCGGGCACTTTGAACCCCATGTTGCTGCAGCATGGTTGCAATCGCAGGGTGCCCAGTTTTCTCAGCAGTGTCAAAAGCAGTTTCACCGCTTCTGTTAACAGCTTTTGTGTCAGTTTCTTTGTATCCAAGAAGCAACTTAACAATCTGCACAATGAAAAGATTACATTAGCACTTTCCTTGTTCCTTTTATTTGACTCCACAAATGAAAGAAGTATTTCTTCCTTTCCCTATCAAGGTCAAGTCTAAATTGTAAATCTAATTGAAAATGAAAATCTGACGATGGGAGATGAGGAAGACAGAATGGATATTACTGGTGGAATAGAAACCCAAATTTAAACCCTAGAGTAGCCAATTAGCTATGCCTTAAATCAATGCAATCAACCAATAGTCAAAATTCTGGGTGAAACAGTGACACTGACCCATTTGCAGACCAAACATGAATCGCTAAACTGATTGATGAAGCACAAGGCTGGTTTACCTGAGTTCTTCCCTTCCTGGTAGCTATATGCAAGGGTGTGTTTCCTTTGGAATCAACCATTTTTATCATCAATGAAGGATTCACCTTGATCAATTCCTCCACCACCTCAAGATTCTGTCCCTTTACTGCCATGTGAAGTGCAGTCTGCCCTTTCTTATCAGTCCTTGGTGCAATCCCAGGTTCACTTGCCAAAAGTGCCTTCACAACCTCTCCATGCCCATTTCTTGCTGCAGAATGTAAAGCTGTTTTACCATTACTCCTTGCTATTGTAGCCAAGCCACTACCTGCCTCCAATAAAAAATTCACAATCTCTTTATGGCCTAGTGTTGCAGCCGTGTGCAAAGCTGTGGTGTTGGATAAATCAACAGTCATAGCCAATTCTGGATGGACTGCCAGTAGCACTTTCAATATATCTGCAACAAGACCAAACTAATACCTCATATTCACCTCCAAAAATTTTCTTAATTAGAAAACATGAAATTCATGTATCAAAAACATACCCAAATCTCCTTGTTTAGCGGCAATGTGGAATGCATCAAAGCCATTTCTAGCTTTGATCCCAGCGTCAACAAGATCATAATAGTTAATCATCTCCTTAACCAAATCAACATAACCATATTCGGCGGCAACATAAAGGGCAGTTTCACCAGATTGGTTCTGTTTAGGTAACAACTCCTTCAGTTCATCCTCCCCAGTACCTGTCAGGATTTCTGTCACCACAGTTATATTTCCAGCTCTTGCTGCTGAATGTAAAGGCGTATCATCACGTTTTCCTGTTAACTGTTTGGTCATCTTTTTCCTACGAGCAGGAACACTTGGCTGCTCAGTTGCTGGTGCCTCCATTGTAATCAAAATCGAAATTCTCCTTTGCCAAACTTTAATTATGAATTGAAAGACTTTCTTTTGGTCATCGTTCATCCACAGAAACCATTATTCATCTGAACACCTCAAGACTTTGGAGCTTGATTCCTTCCTCCAATGTCTGGTTCAGCAGTCTCCTGCGTCCCAAATTATATGCCTGTTTACAGCAAAGATCCACCTTCATCTTTCTTAAAACGTAAACCAACCTCTGTCCAATTAATATTATAAGAAAACAGCTCTACCAACCAATCTAAACGATAAAAATAAACATTCCCAGAAACCCACCCCAAAAAAAAAAGCAGAAACATGAAGTTTCTGTACCCTTTTCATCTGTTTATCCTCCTTTTTTCAAAAAGCCATAAATTGAATTACAAACAAGAAAATGAAGAACGACAAAAGCATGATAATATTTACCTGGGTGTGAGAGGAGGAGCTAATTTCACTCTCATTCATCAAAAACCAAAGCACCCATGTTAGTCAGGAAGCCATTTTCAATTAAATCTCTCTGCTTTCAATCAGAATACCAAAAGAAAAAGTTTTTATGGTTCCTTTCTTTATGAAGAAAAGAAGAAGAAGACGAAGAAAAGAATGTTGAGGCTCTAAAAACATAAGAAGCACATGTATTTTCAACTTTATGCGAATCTAAAACCATTCCTCATAAGGCTTTTGTAAAGGTGCCGTTCATGACAATGTTTGAGGGGGAAAAAACAACTAAATACTAAAGGGAGGCAAAACCAGAGCGGCATTGGCTTATGAAAACAACGGAACTAACAGAACCCCACGCGCCCTCTTGTCGTTTGAATATCATAATGCCGCTTGTTATCTCAAGAGCTTCTAGATGCTCTTTTTCCTATTTTCCAGTCTTTATAATTTGCTTAAGTTATAAAAACGAAATATCCAATTTATAAAATTATTATTAAATTAAATTTATTTATATAAAAAACATAAAACTTACTTATAATTATAATTCTATAACATATATATATATACACGTTATTAATATTTTTAAAAGGTAAAAAAATAAAAAAAAAACCTTTAAATTAAAATTTAATAATCATTTAATTTTTTTTACTATTAATAAACTTTCAAACATATATTTTCATCAATTAAATCCTTACAAGAAAAAAATGATTAATTATTTTCATCCGAGGGTTCAATTGAATAAAAATAAATATATAAAAATTTAATTAAGTGATAATAAATGTTTAAAAATTCAATTAATTTGAAGTAAAAAAATAAGATTTGATTGATTGTAATAAAATATTAAAAATTTAAATAATTATTAAATTTTTATTTAAAAGCTTTTTTTTACTCTTATGGCTTTTTAAAATTTTTTATTATTATATGCTTTAATTTCTAAGTCGAAAGATCAATGCATTATATAAAAATAATAAATTTGTTGTCAACAACTATTTTAAAATTTTTTAAATATTTTAATGTAAAAAAAAATTACAAAATTTTAAAAACTAAACAACATAAATTTGTTACCAAATTTGCAGATCAAACCAAGCAAGTTGGATAACGTCAAATTTTATCCAATGGTTGGTAGATTAAATGTGAGTGTGAAAAGCACGCGCTCTATACAGCGTGGGTTTAGCCTTTAACAACAGACTGTTTTTCCACTCCATAAAAACAAAAAAATTAATTATTAGAATCAATAATTCTACAAAACCGAATTTTTGTTTTGGTCGGCAAAAGGAGCATGAATTTTAGTGGGTCACAGCTACATATAATGATGGACTGACCATTACTAGATTTCTTTTCGCCTTAAAGTTGAAACCATAGCTAAAATATCCCCAAAATCATATTCATAGCTAAATCCAATGTTCCAATAAATAAATATATATAGCCACTTATTAGTTTGTGGTGGGAAAACCAATATATAAGGTATTTATTAGATTAAAAAGTTAAAAATATCTTTAAATTATAATTAAAATTTTATTTAAATTTTTATTATTTTATTATAATTAATCAAAATTTTAATTTTTATTTCAATTAAATAAATTTTTTAGTTAAAAAAATTTAATCATATCATAAAATTTAATCAATTAATCTCTAAATTACAGTCAATTAAACTCTTAAAAAAATTTTAAAAATAAATTTATTTTATTTAATTTTAACATATATTAATTATGTCACATGATAAACATTTATTTATTTTATTAATGTCATATAAAATTTTATCTTAATTCGTAAAAAATTAATGATATTAATTTTTTTATTTAAATAAATACTTAATTAAATATAAATAAATACTAAAAAGATTAACAAATTATAACAAAAAATAAAAATTTAAATAATTTTTAATTATAATTTAGGAACTTTTTATACCTTTAACTTATTTTTCAATAATCTAACATATATTTGGATAATTTGTGAAATGCATTAAATGAGGTGAATTATCAAGAAAAATGAGATGCCACATACGCAGTACGTAAGATATGATGATGAAACTGTGATAAAAAATTATAAATAATTAAGATTATTTTAATTTGGAATATACTTTGATGGATGGAACTCCTTTTTTTATTATTATTTAGGTGACTAAATAGAGAGTTTATTTCTTGTTTTGCGAAGACTTTTTAAGTCAAAATTTTGTCCTAAGGTGATCAGGTTTATGTCACTATCGTGCAATATATCTTATATTATGGTTTTAATTGTTTGATTGTCGCATTCGTTGGTTTCGATGATGAACATGATTTTAATGCAATAATCCAAAATTAAAAAAAAAAAATCCATTGTGGAAAGGATAGAGTAGTTTATGCGAATATCAAAAGCCATTACTAGGGTTACTAGGAGAGAACCCTATAACAGTGTATGACTTGTCACTTCTAGATAGAAAAAAATGAATAGAAAAAAAAGAAAAAGCAATGTCTGTAAGTGTAAGAGAAGGAGTGAAAATATATTCTTGAATAGTAAATCATCTTTCCAACATTCGAAAATTTTAGAGTTTAGATCTAATTTCATTTAGAGACGGTGATTTAATCTGTCTCTGACGGATTTTAATCTGACTCGATATTGTGAGGTCGATTTTTTTTTTTTAATTTGAGTTTCGGATCGAATCGGATAAAATTAAAAAATAATCAGGTTTGAGTTTTAGGTAAATCTGATTCGATCCGATATTATATAAAAAATTATTTTAAAATTTTTTATTTATATATATATATTTATATAATGATATTTTTAAATATTTATATTTAAAAAATAATATTTTACATTTAAAAAATAATATTTTATTAATTTCGAGTTAGATTAGGTCGTGTATGGTTTATATAGTATCGGATCGAGATCGGATTTGGATATAAAAAAACAAAAAAAAAAATCAAGTAAGATCGAGTTCGGGTTTATTAATGCATAAAGTCGGTCGGATTCGGGGCGAGCAAAACCCATCTCGAATCCGACCCGATGTCAACTCTAATTACATCTCCAATGAGATGTAATTAAACAAATTACTATATATATATATATTTATAAAAAAAATTCAATGAGTAAATAAGTTATTAAATCTTTCAGATCATAGTAAGATGTGTTGTATTTAATAATCTAAAATAGATTATTATAAGTCATGCAATCGAGATAATTCTAACAAGCAGTCATCGATAAAATTTAAACTCAAAATTTTTTTGTTGATAAAAATGAACCTAATTAATTGAACCAACAACTTATTGATAATTATTATATTAATTTAAGAAAAGAAAAAAGGTAAAATAGTTGAGAAACATTAAAAAAGAAGGTAGCATTATTAATTAGTATCTTTGCATTAGTTCAATGAAACTGAAATCGACTGTATCTAAATTACTGTCCAAAAAAGCCATAAGAGCAATTTCTTTTTGACAATCAAACTGCATCGAAAAAACAAGTACTTCACATCGAAGGAAGCACGAAAGCCTCTAGCTTTTGGGATGATCATTTTAAGTAAATATAGTACTACTTTGAATTCACATCGAAGTGGGAGGGCAAGAATCCATGGGATAGTCTAAAACAAGGCCACCCTAGTGGCTCTTCACATGATTAAAATGAAAGCAAATTGGCTCCAGAACACATGGGAATCAGCCAGTCAGCCGTCCAACCGCACGTGCTGTTTGCAGACATGTTTATGTCCTTTGCGTGTCACTACTCCACATAATATTCCTGTCATTCTTTTCATAATCAAGCAGACGTACTGATATAATAGCTTGCTTCGAGAATGACTTTTGCTGACCTTTGACTCTCCCAATAAAAATAGCTTCTGTACGTGGGGAGTGGACAAAACAAAGCCAATTTTGTAGTATTGTTGAATTGAAGACATATACATGTTACTTGTATCTGTTATATGTCTCTTACAGATGATTTTTTACTTGGAAAGAACCCAGCTACAAGGTTTAATTTGGTGACAAATGGTGATATGCTCTTTGAACGTTAGTTGTGCTATCCATACAGCTATGATGAGATTTATGGCTTTTATCTTTACTCTCATCACTGACTTCGTCTATAAATATATATATAAAACATGTTTTTGGCGAGTATCAAAGCAAACAATGCCATTAATCGACACGGTAATTAGGTAGGAGAGGATCGATGCATCAGGAAAAAAACAAGCCTGGAACAACAGGATAATGAGGAATCTTTTTTCTTTTCACCGGCCAGCTGCTATGAGTTTGTCCTTTAATTATATTCTGGATCCGTAGAAGATCTGTTCTCTGTGAAACAACAAAAGAAACTTGATTAAATTTTTTATATAATTAGAAACCAAACCCAACATAGCACTTGTCTTACGAAACAGAAATTAAGAAAACTTCTGACACAAGATTATTCATAGTTATGTGTTTTATATTTTTCACTTTTTTTATAAAGAGATCTAAAAAAAAAAAATGAAATGCTGAGATTTGACATATTAATTCTAAATACATTGTAAGGCAACTAGAATTGATAATGACACTGATGGTGATGGCCATTTAGAGTCTATTAAAATTGATTTTGATAAAATTAAAAATAATAATAATAATTATTATTATAATTATAATTTAAAAAATTTTAATAAAAAAATTATATTGAATAAATCTTACTAAAATTTCGATTCAACTTAAGTTTGATTGAAACTTAACTACACCTTAAACATCCAAACATAAGCTAAAGAAAGGTGTAGAATGGGCCTTGCTTAGTGTCAAGACTTGGGTTAGGGTGACCAGATCCTTTCCGCAAGACTTCTTTTTTTGTTGTCCAAAAGTGAGACCCCAAAACATAGTTGGATATGGTCCTACAATTTTTGTTGGGTATAGCTGATCTCCTGCATCCTAGGCCCGTCAAAATTTTTGCAACAACAGGTTTATAACTCCTTCAGCTTTCATAATTATCAAATTAATTTGTTGCATTAAAATATTAACTTGAAAAAAAATTACCCAAAAACATGTGAATCCACTAAGGTTAGGAGCTGCTCGAAGTTAATTTTATAAACATTTAGTTTTTTTATATTTGAGATTGTTAAAATTTAAACGCTAACCGTCAATGTAACTCTTGACTTATAGATGATTAAGCATATTTAAAGATATTGATATTTTTATACGTATTATATATTGTAAAAATTTATATTCAACTTGAGAGTTATTATCTATTTTAGTACAAATATCTTATGATTTTGTCTTACAAAATAAGTTTTATAAATTTAGATTTAGATATTTACATATTTATTTTAACAAAATTTCATATTATCCTAATATGAGATTAGAGCATCACAA